TGGTACAAGAAGTCCGAGCGCATCACGCCCTTGGATAGACGGTACCTTGCCACCGAACTTGACATGACAAAGACCAGCATGGGCTTCTTTATTGAGTACACTCTCCGGGTACTCAAGGGAGTCAGACCCACTGACCTCGACAAAGACTACGCCTCACCTCTGGAGAAAGACGTGCCATTCGCCGACTCAACCGCTTGGACACCCGACGCCGAAACCATGGCCAGAGTACACAAAGATTTCCTTGTCAAAGACATCCTCATCGGCCAGATTCTCGGAGACGTACCACGACAAGACCGACCCGCTCCCATCTTCTCCAGGAACGAGCTCATGGAATTCGGCTTCAAAGCCAAGCTTGTCAAAACCTTCGTCGAAGGCGGAGACAGACCCGAAACCACAGGCAAGAACACTGTGCAACAACAAGCCGACTAAACGTCGACTATATACTGTGCTTCCTATGGACTGCATTTCCATGCTGCCAGCCTTGCCAGCCGGCTTAGGCGGCCCGCTCTCGAATACGGACTTCGGGTACAATTTTTTTTGGAAGCAGTGAGAACTCCACTCCATGATCTGCTGGCCGACGGAAACGTCCTAGATGACCGAGGCGACAATTGACCACGCGACACACGATACATGCTCGCGAGGACTGTTCCAACGAGGGCTGTTCCAACGATCGAGGCAGCACAACCAGTCACAGCCGCCAAGCGGTTCCAACGGGGGCCAGCACTGCATCGATCACCCACGGAGATACTCTTATCTCAACCGCACTTGCTATTTCGATGCGCCCGCGACAACCGTGGGTCTCTCGAAGCACTAAGCGACGGCAGACGAGAGGCCCACGGTCGTCACGGGCGTCAACAAACCACAGACGGCGCCACCTCGAACTCATCACAACCGTAAGTCAGTCATATGCCTCCTCGCCCGCTGCCAACCACTGGGGTGCCATCCGTGCTTAGTTTGCCGGACCAAAAACACTGAAGCCTCTGGTCATATCTTTCGGATTCAACGATTTAATGAAAGCACTAGCTAGTATCAAAATCAACTCCCTTAAGAGCGATTGTTGGCGATGTTCGCATCAAACGAATTTTTTTCAGTCTCTGAAATTCGACGGATCTTGCGCAGCTATTTGTAGGCATGGTCCGGAGTATAGAACAAATAGTGTGTCTGTACAAACACACGTACGGGGAACCTTTTTAGACCAACGTTTTAACACAGACAAACCTGTTCTAGGATTTGTTCCGTCTCCGACCCCATCCGACATCGCCGCTGTTCGTCCTCCGCACCTGTAAATGGGGTCCGTGGACCGAAAACCGCGACAGGGCGAATGAATACTTTGAGCTACCGGCTCGTTTCGGGGCTTACGTCAGAGCTACGATGGCAGATGCTGTTCGAGTCCGCATGGTTGGGAAATACTGGGTTACTGCAAAAAGTGGGGGCGATGTTGCGTTGACTTAAGAATATTGAGGATAATGACAAACCTGAAGTTGAGGATAATGACCAACCTGAAGTTGAAGGCGAGATCAAATGGAGTACTGCAGGTTGGCATTCACTCTTCGTTCCTTTGCTCGCTGAGCTTGATACGTATATTTCCGCAGATATGCGAGACTAACATGTGCGCTGGTGGATACCTAACAATGTTGCGAAGTTAGATTCAATGGGATTGCCGTGTGCTCAAGCAATCTTCTTCCACGTGACGATCTATACAGAGGTCAAAATGTGGGCTAGATATAAGCGATTGGCGGACTTCGGTCTAGCTGACGCTCTAAGTTTGGTCAGTCAATGGTTATGGACGATAATGTGTGATGTAGAATAGAATCTCTGTACTAATCATGCACGAAGTGTGTGCACACACTTTTTTACAGACATTAACAGCGCACGACTTGCTCTCACTCCAGACTATCAATGTGGAACTGTTCTAGTTCCACATTATCGTCGCTTCTCACCAACTGAAGAATTCTGGACGACCTGGGAATCGAACCCAGTACCTCTCGCATGCGAAGCGAGCGCTCTACCATGTGAGCTAGACGCCCGGAGTATGGAGTGAGAACCGACTTCTCGGTCGTGACGCTGCCTTCGGGGCAAGTATAGCTTGGGGTTGCGAAAAAGTTGTTCAAATCTTCTGCTCTTTCCTATTCCTTACCGTAACGGGTTTTGTGTTCTCAGGCATGTCAACAGGCCGGAAGGGGCCTTGAAGCTTGCTGTTTTGAATCTTTTTGTTCAGGTGACCAAGTACCGCGTTCATTCTAGCGACAGTTAACCACAGGCCAATATTCATGAAGCAAATCCAGAAATTCCTCTCAGCTCTGGATACGGAGATCTTCAAACGGTCTTCAGCATCAACGGATGCCAGCATATGCCCTGCAATAACGTCTACGAAGGAAAAATAGATAACGGTGATGCGTTAACCGAAGCAACCCCGGGCATCAAGCAATGACAATGGTCGGGCTGTAGTAGACCGGTGGGTGAGGGGTGGGTCTCAGTAACAGGGACAGGATGGTTGGTGGTGCAGACGGATAGGGAGGGGTGCAGACGGATGCAGCTCTTACTTGATGTGAATTCCCGATATCTAGATTTGGTGTATCCGAGATAAGAAATCTGTACAAGGAGCCTGAAGGCGCTAATTCCAATGAGGATAAACTTCAGCTTAGCACGAGCATGCTTCCCTACACCCACTCTCAACTAAAGTGCGAAATAATGTCAGGGGACAGTCCGTCTGTGAGGGGAAGTGATTTAAGTAAAAGGGCATGGAGCCGCGGGGGGAAACGTTATAGGAGTTACATTAAGTATGGCGTTAACAAAGCGTTGGGTTTGCCCCAAGTCCAATAGGAGAATAGCTATCAGCACAATGGCTGGCGTCGGCAAAATATAGGCTTCAAATTTCATATGCGCCTGTTTTTTCTTTGGGGATTCGTAAAGGGAGGGATCCAAGAATTGTTTAATGACGGGATCGGCCACCATGCATACGGGTTCCCATCCTACGAGGAAGTGTTCGAAGCCCTGGATCACCTCGAAGGCTCTAATCCCCTCTTCATAACGAAGATTCCCATTGGACTGTCTTACCAGTGTCGTGTAATCTGGTCGTATCTGGTCTCAACGAAAGGAATACAAGACCCAAAAGTCTACGCCAACTCCACCAGCTTCATGCAATATGCCCTAATGAGTATTCTAACCACCTCCTGCCAGAACTGGCAAGGCAGGGATAAACCACAAGTTCCTCTGGTTTATCCCTATACCTGTTGTTGGCTGCACCCCTAGTTGGTTGTCCCCAACCGCATCAACGTTTCTGCTTCGCCGCTTCCAACTCCATCACGCGTGATTCCTTCAGAGTCTATTGCCGAAGAAGAATCGATTGCCCGTTGCAGTAAAGAGGTTCGCCAAGGGGGCGGGGAGCGGCGACAGCAGAGGGACTTTCTGTGGCTCTCCAGCCATCTGGACGCGGTGGACAGATTCTTTAAATCCCGCGATTCGGAAGACCGCGTGGTCACTATTGACCCTGCCAGCCCTGAAGTCGACGCCAGCCCTGAGCCGGACGGCAACCCTCAATTGGATGTCTACGCCGGACCAGATGGCAACCCTGGACTCGACGGCAATGCTGGACCGGATGCTGAGGACCCCGAAAACGACCCAGACGCCATAGAAGAAAACAGCGCACAATTAGAAGGGCAACAGTTCGCCGGCAGGGGGCAGTCTGCCCCTGTCCGAGGTCTCTTTGCGACTCTTTCAACGCGGTTCTGGCGGATGCCATGGACAAGCGTGCCTCGCTCACTGACGTCCTACTCCGTCACGGAGCAGGGCGCCTTCCGAGAAGAACACCACAACCCGTCAGGGTACAACGTGTGGGGATATAACCCGCGGTGGAACAACCCGGGGGCGTATGGCCCCCGGGGGTACGCAGGTGCAAGGGGCTACGGTACTGGGAGGCCACGGGGTTACCGACCGTGGATTGCCCCGGGAAGGCCGACCAGCTATGTAAGCTCGACGGGATACGGAGGCTCGCCGGGTTATGGAGACTCGACGGCGCCGTGGACTCGAGATCTGCAGTCGCTTAGCCAAAGGCGGTTGCGGGGAGTGCCGGCTGAAGTGAAGCCGTCAAGGCTTTCAGTGTTCCTTCGTCGTCTGGGTGTCTTCAGGCAGGACCCGTTTATTCGCGGTTTCCGTCTGAAGAGCAACACGTGGTCGGGTCCCCGGGTGAACTCTGCTGGTCGGACGGTGGAGAAGGTGGAGGCCCCGGCAGAGGCACAGGCGGTGGCGGACAAGTCGTTGTGGCTGAAGCGTCTGGACGTATTTGGGTATGCGGATCGCGGGCGTGTGCTGATGACGGCTTTGCATCATGCGCGTGAGCCGACGAGTTTGACGGCAAGTTTTACTGTATTCTATGGAATAGTAGATAGTTTGAACAAATTAGCTTTGGACCCTGCAGTCGGGCGATCGGATCCCGAGGACGGCTTGGTTTCGCAAAATGCACTTGGCAGCTTGATGTCAGGACGCGACATTGTATTCGTACCCTTCGTTAACCCCGATGGATATCGCGCAATCGAGTTAACAAGGAATCCCATGATCCGCAAAAATCAAAGGCCCACCTGTACCAACAATCCAACCAACTCAACGGCCCTCTTGAACGGGATTGATCTCAACCGCAACTACGGCAGCACCTTTGTGCGTGAGCACTCGCCCTGTCACACCGAGGAGTATGAAGGCACACACGCTTTCAGTGAGCCGGAGACGCGCGCCATCCGCCGCCTCACCCGCCTCTTCCGGCCCCAGATTGCCCTCAACTTCCACGCCTACGGGGACCTCTGGACGCGGCCTTGGAACTGCTGCAGCAACCGCACACTGTCGAGACGAGACAAACAAATATTTACTGAGATCGCGCAGTCGCTACATGGCATCGAGTCGTTCGGCAGCGCACCCGAACTGAAACAGCTCGGGTACGTGGCGACAGGCGAATCCGATGATTGGATGATGGAAGAGTACGGCACTATTTCCATGTCCCCGGAAATTGGGCCAGAGGAACACGAATTCTACCCCAAGACCTTTTCTGTTGTCAAGGATATCAACAGAGACAACTTTAACAGAACTATTAATGTCATCACAAAGGCGGGCAGCGAGCTCAACATGCTCCTCGAGCTGTGCTCGCCTCGCAGAAACCAGCTATCCATTGTCAACTCTGGTCTAATGGACACAGGGCACATCGCGCTGGTCTACTCCAAGCTACCCGGTAAGGAGGCTGAGGTTGCAGCACAACTCATTGACCACGTCAAGGTGTCCACAGCTAACCAGGTAACCGGTGACCAGGTAACCGGTGACCAGGTAATCGATAATGCAGCAGTTAGCCCGTCTAACTTTACTAGCTTCATAAATGTCAATGTCCCCATTACGGACGTCTCAGCCCGCTATCGCCCGTTCGCCTGGACCGCTGTTCCGGGGGAGCCGGAGGTGCTGGAAATCGACAATATCTCCGCCAGAGCCTCGTTCACAGATCCCAAATTACAGTTGGAGGAAGGAGCCGCCTACCAGTTCTGTGTGTACAATTTATCCGCAGAAGACGGCGACTACGAGGCCGGCGCGAAGGGTCGCCAACCCGAAATCCAAGTGGGTTTCAAAACTCGTAGACACGTCGCGAAATCGCCAGCAAGCCGACCGTTGGTCACTCCTGCGGTAATTGACGACAAGAAGCTGGACACCCGGAATACTGTTCGATCGAACTTTGGTGGGCAGAAACGTGACACGGGGGTTGATCAGTACTGGGAAGGAGGGCAACGTGCTAGCTTGGCTACTCTCATTATGGGCTACCAGTGCGGAACAATAAGTAACCTGGGCTGCAGCACTGACGGCGCCTTTCTGTATGTGCCTTTGAGTGTGAACCTCTTGACCACTGCCCAATGATTTGAGCGGAAGCGACTGCCTGACAGACCGCCTAAGTCATTCTGATGAGCCAACCATTGTGGTGGGCTAGCCACCATTGGGGATCGTCATAGCGGGGAATCGTAATCGTGTTGGAGCTCTCATAGTTCGGCTTCCGGCTTTATTAGGCCGAATGAATTAAATCTCATTTTCTTATCTCCGCGGCCGCGCTCGAGCGACTTGATGCTGGGGTGACCTGGAATGTTGGGGCTGCTCAGGGGGTGACCTGGGCGGGGTCAGGCGGGCTCCCGATGGTTTGGAGTGATTTTTTGTTTAAACCAAAATAATGGAGTACGAACGAGCGTATGACGAGAAGGAGTACGGTCGGTCCTTGGAGATACTGTTACCGTTGTTGTCTAATGACGGCTTCGGGACATCGGTCGGCGATGGTTTGAGTCGCGACGTAAGTGAAGTAGTGTTGCTATCCGCTTTGGCTAGCATGATAGAGGTCAGACGACATGACCAGTACAGCGTAGTAGATATTTGGAATGATGGAAGCGGGAAGATGCCAGCAGCGGCAACCAGGAGTCAGTGCTCGCTGCTTAATAGAGCTGAGGAATTGGTTAGACCCCTTCTGCTCAAGCACCTGGGAGATGTTTGCCCCGAGATTTTGCACAACGCATATATTTACTTCAGTGATGACGATTTGCTGCGCCCGCGCTTGGAGAGGGCGCTGAATCTATCACGCATCGTCGAACACATCGACACCTGCTACTTGGGCCAGAAACCAAAACTAAACACAGGCTCTGCCGCGTCGCAGGCATCTGTTATGCCATCGCAACCTTGTGATATGGGAAATACTGCAGGGCCCGCCGGCACAGCTGGAAGCGCAGGAGTTGTGACCAAGTCCTCAGTTGAAGCCCAACCACCGAGTACCAGTATGGGAGGTACCAGTATGGGAGGTACTAGTATGGGAGGTACCGGTATTGGAGGTACCGGTATTGGAGGAAGTAAGAACTCCAGCGTCGGAAGCAAAAGCTCGAACATCGGGAAGAGTGTCAGCGCCGGAGGAAAAGGGCGGAACAAAAAGCCACAGCAGAGCTCGGCCTTGAGGCGGAAACCGCCGGTGGCTTTGCTGCCATACCGCGCGTTACAGGTAACCACAGACGACTTCTACCTGTACATCACCTACCTGTGGTCGCATCCGGAGATTGCGCGAAATAGATTGGTCCTTCTGCACAGCAAACTCTCCCGAGAAGTCGAGCAGGCTTCCGATGCCGATTTTGTAGGCCTTGTGGCCCACGTAAGAAGGTGCCTCGCATTTGCACAACTCAGTGAGGACACCAACAAGAGAAAGGACCACCCAGTGGTCCCCTTAACCCTTGGTAGCACCATGCCCCTCCTTGGAGGAGACCCGGCTCAGGGAACCTCATCAACTCAAGGAGCGTCATACTCTGCAGTTCACGGAACGTCGGCGGTCCACGGAACGTCAGCAGTTCAAGGTGTAGAGACTTCCGCACAGAAAGGTGCCCGGCGTCCTGCCAAAGGCGCCTCCAACAGCAATGGTCGAACGCAACAACCGAGAAACCCACAGTTCCCCACCCAACAGAAGGACAGACCGCCTCCCGAGGATGAAAAGGCGGCAGTCCTAGCCGAGAACAAGGCTGCAGCCGACTTCCAGTTGGTCCAAAGCCTTTTGGGCTGCGCTCTTCCGATGCAGCTTTGCATTGCATGTCCCCACCCGAGCCTGTTGCAAAAGTTGAACAGTCACTTTGATCGATTAGTGCTGAGGTATCGACAGGATCCGACAGGCGTGGCTGCTGCTCTGGAAACGTCACGCCGGAAAGCGCTGGGGCCCTATCCAGCGGAACTTGGTAACATGCAGCTGGCGGTTGACCGGTACCTAAATTGTACTACTGTCCGGTCCGCCGTTCAGTTGGCGAACGCACTTAGGAAATTGGGCAGCAGCCGAAAAGATGTAAAACCCGAGCTGCTGCGCACTTTATTGAAAGCATTGTGTGAGCTGTCGTGCCACAACCATCACGTGATGGATGCATTGCCATTGTCCATGGTATTGGACTACGTCAAAGATGATACACTGCTGCTTCGCACCATCCACCGAGCACTTGGACGAGGTTCTCCCGCCCTGAAGCAGTGGTATGAGATTCTTTCTAACCGCGTAAGATTCCCGCACCCTCCCCCCCTGTCGATAGCATCGGGCTTCTGATGTCTCTAAAGGGCGGCATCAGAAAGTCTTGGCTATCACCGTTATCAATCAACCGCCAGCCGCTGGTGCCAACCTGGCCGTCAAATTCAGCTAGCCTAGCGATAATGACTGCCGGGCTCGCAAATGCCACTCTGACTGTCGCTGATTGATAAACGTTGCCGTAATAAACCGATGATAGTCCACTGCCGAAAGCACGCCGGTGAGGGCAACATGCACCTCCTCACTGCGGCGTACTTTTGCTTTGGGTCTCGGTTTAAATTGCGCGCGCTCTTGCGCGCGCGCACACACTTTCGCGAACACTTTCCTTCACGCATGCCGCGCTGCGCCTCCGAACAGGCGGCGCTAGGTTGCACGGGGAGGGATACAAAGCACTTCCGCATACCACCGATGAGCATGTTTGCAAGTTGGATAAGTATGGTGGCTATGTGAACGTTGTTTTTTAGCACGACGAGAAAAGTCGGGAACTGCGAGAGCTAGTTGCCGCAGGACTAGGTAAACCAACAATCGAGACGGACTCCACACCAGTAGTCAAGGATTACCAAAGATTGACTCCTGATCAATTTGCGGATCAATACGAACTCCAGTTGCCGGATGAGATTTTCCTCATCGATGCTGAGCGCCTCTGCACAGAGCTTAACGCCAGCAACCTGTTGAGGCAACGACGACTTCGTTTTTATGATTAATTTAAATGGAGTACCCATCTCGATTTCTGTTTTTCTTGGTCTCTTAGGGTCCACGATCTGCTTGTCCATTCTAGCGGCCGTTGCGGGCACCGGAGGAGGCTCATTGTTCCTGCCACTATTTTCCTTACCTTTAACCGATGTCCATGACGCTGTCCCGCTAAGCAAAAGCGCTGTACTTGGAACCGGCCTTGGCGCCTGCTTTGTCAACTACATGAAGGCCAGACAATCTCAGTAAGCACCAAAGCACGGGTGCTGGTACAGGTGTCCACCAATGCAGGCGTCCACAAATACGGAAGTCCACAAGTACAGGCGTCCGCAGGTGGTTGCTTTCAGACACAGGTGGTTGCTTTCCGAAACGGGTGGTTGCTTTCAGAGACATGGTCAACTATGCGATTGTTACGCTAATCCAGCCGGCGACACTCTTGGGCTGTTTGTGCGGCGTGCTCTTGAACCTGTGGTTTCCGTCGATTGTCATTACATGTTCAATGGTGATCATTCTGAGCATTACTGCCTACAAGACCTTTCAGTCGGCACGAAAAATGGAATCGGCGGCGGCTCCCATGTGGAAGAAGCGAGTTGGTCTGACTGGTGACCGCGAGTTTGAACCCCTTTTGGTCAAGAGTCCTGATGGGCACAGCCCGGATGGCCGCAGACCCAATGGCTACAGCCCCGATGGCTGCAGACCTAATGGCTATAGCCATTATGGTTACAGCCCTAATGGTAGCCCGGATGGGCATAGCCCGGATGGGTATAGCCCGGATGGGCACAGCCCGGACAGCTGGAGTAGTGCTGGTGGAGAAATTCCGTCCACCCCTTTATTCCAGGAATATAGTGTTTCGCTGGAGCCGGAGGTCCGGGCTCGCCAAAAGTGGAGCCCGGGAGAAGGTAGCCCCTACGGGCCGCCGCCGCCTCAACTTTGGCAGCCGAAACCGGGATGGGTATCCAGGCCGTCGGAAGAAGGAAGCGGGGCGGCGAGCGACTTCTCGGTGTACATGGACGGGGTAAGTGAAACCGACGGCAGCCTGGCGGTCCTTAACACACCCACAGCGGACGGGGTCTATCGGGGGATATGTCTTGTTGGCGGAACCTCGCCCGCTCAAGTGCAGGTGGGCGAGGTGCGGGTAAATCGCAAACAAGAGAGTCGGAAAGGCCTCCGGGAGGAGGAGTTTCGGAAGACAACCCCGACAGCAAATAGCACGTGTGTGTCCAGTGATTCCGAGATTGATACCCCAGACCGGCTTGAGGACCGGAACCCTGCCTTATTCATCGAGACCAGCGGATTCCAGCTCAAGGAACTTGCGTACATGGGGATGGTTTGGATGATCAACCTTCTGTGCTTGACTATGTCGGGTAGCACTGTGGCTCTTATCTGTGGCACACTACGCCAGAAAATATGGCTCTGGGGGGACATCTGTTTTCTCATTGGCTTCATCGTCTTCACTTATAAACGACTGGCCAGACAGAAAACTGTTGACGACCGGAACCTGCAATGGCTGACCTCTGTCAACGCTCTCACCTACTGCGGCCTAGCCTACCTGGCTGGCGTCGGAGCAGCCCTACTGGGCATCGGAGGAGGACTCATCAAATCGCCTCTTCTCATTGCCATCGGGTTACGACCAATCAGTGCAGTCGCGACGTAAGCACTTTACTTATGAACGCACGTGTCATGTGAGTACACTGGTCGAGCGTAACAACGGTGTAACAGCTACCCCTCTAGGTCTAACTACATGGTGGTTTTTACGGCATCCACGAACGTACTGTCGTACATACTGGCTGGGCGTTTAAGCCTCGTAGAGCTGCTGTCCTTCGCTCCCCTGTCGTTTGTGGGTGGGATAATTGGCGTGGTGGTTTTGCGCAAACATTTTGCAGGAACGACTGTGCAAAGTACGCTGGCGCGGATCCTGGGCTGGACCATCATTGTGGGCGGCTTGGCCATGCTGGCGTCGGGGCTGTACACGCGGTTTGGGAGACACATCTCTGACGAACGCACCTTCGGCGACGCCTGCGATGACTTGCACGAGAAGAGGCCCTTTTTCAATGTGCTCCTACAACACGATTTATAACCGGCGCGGACCTTGCGCGTGGTCACAGGGCGGCGAAATCCCACTGGGCGGGAAGCTAGCTTGAATAGAACTGACTTCTGGGGGTCGACAAGGCGGGGCGAGCGACGAAGCTGAGCAAGTTCTCAACGACTGCCGTGGATATGCTCGACGCCACACTCTCATTGACGGCGGCACGAACACCTTCTACGAAGAGAGACACTCGTGGAACGTACAGCAACAGATACGGTGCATAGGCAGATTACAAAGAAGACATGGTCGCCAAGGTCGGCGATAAAAGCTGAGCTTACTTCGAATGGAAAGCAGACTGGAAGCCGCCGTATTCAAGGCAAATACGAAAAGAGGCTGTGCAACATTCCCGCTCATCACAGAAGAAACGGCCGTCCACAAAGCATAGTTACCTACACGTATTTCGCTTGATTCCTTTCAGTTAATATATGCCACTCGATATACGTTCGGTCCACGCGGTGATATTCGTGGAGTGTGCTTACTCGCGTTTTGGAGAGCTTGGTCCCGAGTCAGTTTGTGTACATCTCGAAGGGGTACTCCAGTGAGCAGTCGCCTAACCGAGTGGTATGCGTAGGTGGAAGCGAATCCGAGGGCGAAAGCCCCTCCTATTTCGTCGTACACTTTCGACATGCCAAGGAGGAGGACAAATACAAAATCACAAATGAACCAACTTTGTCAAACAAGCTCGACAGCTAAGTGCCAGTGAGATGATGGCGGGATGATTGGATGGCAGGCAGGGTCAATCCCTGCCAAGGGGGTGTCCCAAGAGATTCTGCCTCAAATGGGCCACAACCCACTTCAAGATGGGGGGGGGGGATAATTAATTATGGTATTATATTTAGTAGGTTTAGGATTGGGTTCCTTGGATGATGTGACGGTGCGTGGGGCGAAGGCCTTGGACGAGAGTTCATATTTGTATTTGGAAGCGTATACTAGCGTGCAAGAGGATTTAAGTGTTAATTTTTTGAAGGAGCGATATCCGACTAAGGAGGTGATTGAAGCGGACAGAACAATGGTTGAGAGTGCATGTGACGATATGTTGGAGCGTGCTAAGAATTCGGTGGTTAGTTTTCTTGTTGTTGGTGATCCATTTGGTGCCACGACACATGCGGATTTATTTCTTCGTGCTAAGGAAATGGGTGTTGAGATCAAAATATTTCACAATACGAGTATCATCAACGCAGTCGGTACGACAGGACTTCAGTTATATCGATTCGGACAGGTGGTCTCTATACCATTCTTCGATGGCACTTGGAGGCCTACATCATTTGTGGACAAGATCCTAGAGAATTTCCAAATGGGACTTCATACTCTTGCATTGTTAGATATCAAAGTGAAGGAACAAAGTGTTGAAAACATGATAAGGCAGAGACCTATATTCGAACCACCAAGGTTCATGACTGTTAATCAGGCCGTCGAACAAATCCTCTCCGTGTTATCCGACAGAAACCTACAGGAAGACAATGTGCAGCAAGTGGAGAAGCATATCCTCACTCCTCAATCGCTGGCCTGCGGTGTCGCCAGAGTCGGCTGTAAAGATCAAGTCATCAGATTCGGGACTCTAGAAGAACTACGACACTTCGATTTCGGTAGGGAACTGCATTCTGTCATCATCTGTGCTCCTGAACTGCATGAAATAGAAGAAAGCTTCAGGCAGTTATATTCCAAATAACTCTCATCTCCACTCAACTACAATTCTATTTAAGAACCAATCTGCTTTGTTCCTTAGCTTGATTCATTTCGTGAACAGATGATTTAGGCAAAGAATTCACGAGCTTTCAACGAGGCAGTTGTTTTTAAAGGATCTGCTCGTCAGCTGCGGCTGATTTTTTTACAGAAACATGGAACTTTGAGTAGGCTTATGCATTTGATGATTCGATTCGATGGTTAGGTATGTTCGCAGATGATCGTTTGTTACGAACACCAAGATTTTCTAAAGGACCATGCATGATCCCAAAAGACATCCTATGCTGTTTTTGGGTAAGTAAGCTTTGCAGACATGTAGTCTTGCACAGTCACGTATGCGTGTACTATCAATATAGGCAATGGGAGGGATGGAGGAGCCGTTTGGCATGGAGGAGCCGTTTGGCGTGATGAGCGCACACGTGTTTTTAGGATTTAGAATCAACTGGATTGCGAGTGACGTTGGATAATATTATCCAGATTGGATGTACATGTCGTTTGTTTATCAGCAATGGAAAGAACCGACGTAGGTTGTTCGATTACATACGCGACGGGGTAGAACATGACTATACGCGTTATGTTAAGACAGGTTCGAGGATACCCACCGAGATTTCCAACCTTACGGGTATAACTAATAGACTGTTAGATGATAAAGGTACTAGCCTGCGGCACGCGCTAGATGACTGGGAAAACTGGATCCACAGCTTACTGCGCAAATGCCCCAGGCCGACATTAACCGAAGTGTGGTTCATTGCTCACAATGGCAATCAATTTGACCTGCCCCTGTTGTTCTATCAAGAGATGACCTTACTCAAACAACAGCCGGGCACTTTCTTGAAGCAGGTCAGCCTTCATGTCCCGATGTGATCCAGCCTTGGTTGCGATACCCTTAAGTGACAGATACTGCCCCCTGACATTCCAACACTTTTGTGCTTTAGGTTGGGGTGACGGGCGTGGTAGACTCACTCGTGCTATCGAGAGCATTATACTATGCTCAACGGAATGCCCAAGGAGAAGTAACTCAGCTAGTCGCTCGGAGCCATCGGCTGAGTGATTTATATACGTCCAGATTCGGTTCGCAGATGCCAAATGAACATAATGCTCTATGTAAGTCGCTCCCCTGTTATAGCTGTTGCCCCCTCCCCCTCCCCCACCATCCATTACCCGCACCGTGTTTATCCCGCACCGTGTTTATCCCGCACCGTGTTTACACATGACATGCAATTCAGACGATGCCAAGGCAATGGCTTGTATTATGGGCGAGGAACCGTTCTGTTCGGCGTGGTGTGTGGATTCAATTGGATGGCACTTGACGGAGTATATGCGTGCATTCTATCGAGCATTCAACAAGCGGCACCAAGGCAGCGCCGAACTTCACATCAACAGGCACTTGTTCGATAGCATCGACATGCCGTGGACCTCGTCGTCCTCGTCTTCTTCAGTCGCGTCCCCGCTCGCGACGACGGCGGATTCGTCGCCTGAGACGAAGCCGTCGCCAGTCGATAGTCGCCTGAAAGCGTCGACTTACTGGAAGTTGTTTCGAACTCGAATCAAAGTGGAAAGATAAGCTGTTGTGGCTCTGTCCTGGGGCTAAGATCTTGGGGCATCGGACCACCCGGGTGGTCAACCCACGAGGTGGCTGGCTACCTTTGGGCGTTGGTTTTCTTTGGCGGCCTCGGCTGGGTGGTGGTTGTAAAGCAGTAGGCGGTGGTAGCTAGGACCGGAAAGGCCAAGGCCGAAAAGGCTCAAGACCGGAAAGGCCAAGGCCGGAAAGGCGAGCGGCTGAAGTGGCAGTGTGTGCAGAGTGTGGGGGACAACAAAATTATGAAATGAATCTTTAGTCAATGTTACTACACCCAAAAAATAGGTTTGTTGCCCGTCAGTTGTCCTTCTTCTTAGTTACTGGTCATTCTTTACTGGTCCTTCTTCCGTTTCTTCTTCTCTGATGAGGACTTGGAGTCCGACAACCGTTTGCTCTTCTTGTGTTTCTTGGACTTTTTCGATTTGCCTTCATCGTCTGAGGACTCATCTTTAAGGTTGGGGGAAGTCTCGGATGGGTCTTGGGTGGAGTTGTGTGTCGCGTCGAATGGTTCCTCTTTGACGACGCCTTCGGGCTTTACGTTTTCGGTCGCGGATTCACTACCAGTGAGTTGAGGCAGAATGCCTTCAGGGTGAAGCCAGGTGAGAGGCGTGTTGGCGTTGGGTTTGCCATTCTTATCCAGCTGTCCCTTCAGGATGAGTGCCTTTTTCTCCTTAGCCCTGGGTCCATAGCCCCAGCGGACGTCATAGACATCTCGTTCCATAAGGTTCCTCTTGATGGTGGCGACGACGCCATGGTCGACGGAAGAGATGGTGGCAGTGGTCATTTGTGCTATAGCGAGCGCTATGGCCTCACCCTTGGTGGTCATAAGCACAATTTGGTGACCCATTTCGATGTTTGACTCGTACCGTAAGACGCCTGGGATTGTAAGTCTGGCTCCATAAGTCAGAGCATTGACTGCCGAATCCTTAACAACTATTCGCGGCATGCCAACAAGCAGCCGCTCCTGGGGCATGATGAGCCTGCGCAGAGAGCGCTCGTCCCGCGATGTATCGAACAGGTACTGCGCGTCCATCAAGTCATGGAGGTTGGTCAAGTTATCCTCCTCAGACAGGTTACCGGACCTTACTCTTCGCAATTCTTGCATGTGTGCGCCACAACCCAGAACCAGGCCCATATGGACACATAGTGTTCTTACATACGTGCCAGCCTCACAACTGACCCAGAAGCATGCGAGATTCCTCTCCGTATCGAAATCCAGCAACTTTGTCTCATAAATCGTCCGTACTCGCAACTGCCGTTTCACGGCACATATCACCGGTGGTCGTTGATACAGCGCACCCGTCAAAGTCTCCAAAGCCTTCTGGACAGCAGCAGGACCCTCCACCGTACCATGAAACTTGACAATCGCCACGTACTCCTTCCCGGCATTCTGCTGACTCTTCACCAACCTCGTTGCGCGGTTCAAACACACCAACAAACATCCTGTCACCTTCGGGTCCAACGTTCCAGAATGACCCGTCTTCTCCACCTTCAATATCCGCTTCACCCAACTCACCACCTCATGCGAAGACGGGTTCGCGGGTTTATCCAGATTTATCACTCCACAAGCCAAATGCTCCTTTAAAGGACGATTTAAAGGAGATGAGCCATACGGTAAAGGCGTATAATGCCCCGTACGAACATTCAATTTGTCATAATTCTACCACAATCGTAATTAGTACGCAAGGCTGGAGGGGGGACTTGTATGGTGGGATGGACATGGGTCGGGGGTCAGCGAGCGGGGGTCTACGGGTCAGCGAGCGGTGGTCAGCGAGCGGGGGGGCTGAAGTACCTTTAGTAACAACGGCCATGCCGATGTATCCACCGGTGCCGGATTAGATTCTGGAGCTATGAAATGCGTTGCCGCCATTTTGCCCCAAAAAAACAACCCCCTACCCTTACACCAATTTTTCCGCCCGGAAATACCGATTCAGGTTACCTACTGATAGGAACGTGGCCACTCCTAGCAGCCCTAAATGAACAATGGCCAGGCCCACAATGGAACGACTCAACGATTGGGAAAGCTTATGCATACCGTGCTCCTAACAGAAAGATAACAACCTGGCGGAAGTAGTGGACGTAGGGTGGGGAGATAGTGAACGAGGGCCGTGCAAAAGCTAAGCAGCGGGATATTGGTGACGGGCTGTAGTAGTGGTTGTGATGGATTGCGCATAACGGTGACATACTTCTTGTTCTTGATACTCGTTTTGAGTCCTGATGTAGTTTAGCTTGTCAGTGAGCGTCCTAATCAGCTTTTCATTGTTTTCAAGGCTCAAGCCTTTGGCAACATCCTGTAGATTCACCTCTGTGTCGCCAAGATCAACTGAGACACTCCACTTGAGCATTTCGGTACCAAACCACTTAGAGCTAGGACACGAAACGCACACGCTAAGTTGACCGGACTGCTGGGTCAAGTACGTAATCTTGCCACTTGGCTTCCGAGGACTAACTGCCCTGCTCATAACCTCAACACCGCGGGCATCACTAATTTGAACCGTACACGTTACTCCAGGATTATTGAAGTTCTCATACGTCACTGTGACGGGCAAATGCACAGGAGTATTTTCGTAGAAGCACTTCTTGCTCGCCTCCGCCACATAAAAGTAGGGCAAGCTCGAAGGAGGAACGGTCAAACCAGCTTCGCCGGCAGAATGATCCTGTTGTTGTGCAGTGACCAACAACGCAGCGGTCGCCACTAATCTATAGAGACCCATGCTGCGGAAAAAAATGGTCAAGCTATTTTGCCCCAGGTACGGTCGATTGACCATTTGACTTTCAACGGGATATTTAGCTTCAAACTGTCCTCACAGACCTCTACTATCTCGCGCCTAAACGGAATGGTTAAATTGTTAATTCGCGCGCGCAGCACACTTACACCAAATCAAACGTGACTCTTTCATCATATTCGCGTTCAAATTCAATCAGAAGCTGGTCATGAATTTGAAGAACGTGATGGGCTCTGCCCTGTAAAACTGGATTCAGCGAAGAACATACATATTTCATTATGTCGGCAACCGACCCCTGACAAAGTGTGTTGACAGCTTGCCGTAACGATCTACCATCGCGTTTGTCTTCTCTGAGTTTCGGAAAATATCGTCGTCGATTCCCCAGAGTCGTAATATAGAGGTGCTTACCAACATGCGCCTGTAATTTGGTAATAAAGTCGAATGTTACAGGAAAGACTCGTTTAAACGAGTCGAGAGTATCATCAAGCGCAGCAATTCCTAACGCTGACCGCAACTCATGAAATGTTGAGTCGTTCACAGTACTACACATTAAACCCACATTATCGCCTTCTGGAAGCAACGCCTCGGGGGACCGTACATTGTCAAGTGACATGCCTGAAACACTGATGGAAGGAACAGTCGAAGTCGCCACGAGAGGGGATGTTCCGAGACTCGAGAATGCTCCCAGACTCGAGAGGGTTGTGGGATCACCTGCCTCACTTCTGATGTGTAGTCCGGAAGTACCTGACCCTATCTGCGACATACTATTCGTCATTTGCTGTTTTTTCAGTGACTTTCCTGACTGGCCGTATAGAATGGCATATACGCATTGTTTAGCTTGACGACGCTCCTCAGAGGAGATCTCTTTTTTCCTTAGCCAGTGGGAAGCAATAAGAACAAATGGATCTTCCTTATCTTCATGCAAGATCTGACTGAGAATCGGATCTCGACTAAAATGCGTTAAAATTCTCAGCTCAATCTGACAGTAATCGATTGAAAGCAATATTGTAGATGTACTTATCAATTTCCGAGGGGTCAGCTTCAGTACATGAGGGGCAAACTCAACATTCTCTAAGTCAGACTGTGGTAAAAGATAAACGTCTCTACTACTAGCTACATGCGTTCCCCTAGCACTCCTCGAAAATATCTTGGACCTTCCCCCCGACAGACCGCACGCATCCAGAAATGTAACCAACGCCTTCTCACCGGACCGTGCTATTCCATCCAATCTGCAGAAACAAACTTTGCCCGCAACAACCCCAGATCCGCCGACCCCACATCCGTCGACCCCAGATCCACCAATCCCGGATCCGTCGGAGCCGCGCCCAGTCAACTTCTGTCCCGCTGAATCGCGAATGATTGCCACCGCCAGTAGCGGAACGTCCTTGTAGTTTTGGTATCGCCGTCGAAATAAGGAACGGTGCTCTTTGCACAGTAGATACCGCCTTTCCTGCCGATTAAGGTCGTAGTCAACGACATCCCAGAGGCGAATGAGTAACCCACTACAATCAGCACAAAGCTCCGCGGACAACGGACTGTGTATTTCCTTGGTCCTCTCCAGGCACAAGAGATCGTGAGTTTCGTAGTACGTTTCCCGAACCTCATGTTTAACCCCCCGCTTCGCACCATCCCAACCTTCAACCGCGGATTTGGTGTCGGCTCTGGCAACTGGGGACGTACCAGCGACTGGAGACGAGTTCTCTTCGTTTGCCTGCCCGGCGCTAAACTCCGGACTTACCACCCCCGGGATCGAGTGCCGCCGGCGGGACTTCCTTTCCCTCTGCACCTTCTTACGTATGCTAGTGGCCACTCGTCCTGTGCTGCTTCCGAAGACGTTGGACACGGGAAATATTCTGTACGTCACGGAAGATCTGCAGCACGAGCTCAAGGCAACCTTCTGCGACCATCCACACGCCTCGGCCCCAGCTCCAGACGACCAGGGTTTGGGCACGGGACAGATGCTGTCTTTCACGGCCCGGATGTTGCCAAGCACGCCGTGTAGGCAGCGACATATCTCGATGCACTTGCAAAAAGCCCGCGCCACGCTCGAGTGGAAACCGTACTTGGCCATGGCACCCTTGCTGCTCACGTACCGCCGGCTGGCGATATACGGCCAGCCCAGGACCTCCGTCTCAATGATGCGACCACAAGCCGCCACGTCCAGATACGGCAACAGACCTCGCGACTTAGGCGCCTGCGCCGGCCGCGGCTTCTGTCGGCAGAGTGAGCCCAGATAGGAGTACAGCGCGATACACAGCTGCACAACCTCGTCCAGCTGCAGTAGCTCCGGCAGTGACAAATACTCCGGCTCCTGGCACCGCACCAGCCACCGTTCTACCAAGTCGCCCCGCTCGACCAAGTGACCCGGCTCTGCCAAGTCGGCCCCCTCTATCAAGTCGGCCGGCCCACGGCCAAGCCCGTCACGACCGTCCGGGCCACCGTGCCTCGCCACGGCGGCGGAGTCAGATAGGGGAGGCGCACGCTGGTTTGAGAGGCGCACGTGTGCGGGCACACCGTGGACGGCCTGCAGGACCAGTGTGGCGATGTAGGGACACTCGGCCGCCCAGTAATGGCAGAGTTGCTGGCTCTCGCGGAGTTTCCAGAGCAGCGCCTGATAGACGGCCCAGAGGCGAAGCACGCTCGGCTCGATCGTCGGCCCAGCACCGTAACGTGCTAGGAAACTCGCGGGTGAGGTGCACACGGTCCGGACGTGGCAGGAGTCGGTCGCCGGGTACATCCAATGCGCGGTCGTCATGTCAAACAACGGCGGGAACGCCATCTGCAGAACCTCCAGGTCTAGCCAGCCCTGTCTCAGAAGCCGCAGACCGCCAGCCGTCCCGCCAACGAACACAATCGACCCCTTCCCGGTCTTCAACTTCGAACGCAACAGACGTCGTACGGCCCGCAACTCAGGCGAGCAACGACCCAACAAGACCCGGCAGTGCGACTCCTCTACCGCAGGCGACAATGGATTGCAGCCCTCTGTCTTGCTCTCATCGGGCGATGAAAACGGAGCACCAGGAGAGTAAGGGAGGTTGGGAGAGGTCGCCGTGTAGGGAGACCAACACGGGCTACCAACGGTGTCGGGAGGGCTATTTTGCTTTGTTGAGTCCACGGGGCCATCCTTATCCATAAAGCCATCCTTGTCCGTAAACCCATCTTTGTTCACAAAGCCATCGGAAGAACTCCCTGTCAGGTCCCGAGACTTTGTTGAGTTCCGAGCCCGAGCTGGGCGAGAGCAGGACGCAAATATCAGGTCATGGCAGAAGAAGAGAGTGCAGCAGTCAGCAACTAGGGCGTGACAGCTCGTGCTAGGGTGCGCGAGGGCGGCCACAAACGCGTCCACCGAAGTCGTGGTTAGTGGCTGGTCTCCTTCAGCAAACCAGTGCGCTTTGAGCAGGGATGTGTCCAAGGGACGAACCGCCAGCTGCAGACGCACGCGTTTATTTACATGCAGAACTAGCCAGGAGTTATTCACGACCGGAGGGCGCGAACTTAGAAAAAGCCGCTCCCAAGGGGGACTGTGTTCGTCCACAGCCAGGTTGTAGCATTCCTGCGGGTTGTTCTTGACATAGCAGTCCAGATTGGCGGAAACAAGTTTACATGGGATTCTAAGCAGAGTCCGGAAATTCGATGCATCCGACCCCAGCGATAGTAGCGAAGACCCTTCAGACGTAATCGAGCTGCTAGAACCCTCCCGTGCCCCCGCGGACCTGATCTGATGCCTCGGGGTCAGGTCAGCGTTCAAGTGGGCCGAAGAGGACCTCGGGGCCGAGTCGGACTTGGGTAACCCTCTGTTGTCAGCCCTATTATCAGCCCTATCGCCAGCTCCCTGAGACGAGAATCTCGGACGTTTCGAGGTCTCCTTCGCGACCGGCCCTAGGCCTCTCTTGTTCTGCGGTTGATTGTTCTCAAGTGCAGCATTCCCTGCGGCGCCATCCCGACGCGGCTTGGCAGCAGTGGCAGGAGCAGTCTCGGTGGGGAGCAATTCGTGCTCAAGCTGACTTGTCAAGCCATCGAATAGCATATCAACTGAGCTCATCTGGCTGGCGGTTGCGCTGGGAGGATGCTGGAAACGCTTTCGCTTTTGCAATGGCGTTTTAGACCCCAGATTTCCACGCTTCACCGATTCCGAGCCGGCGCTGCGAGCTCCATGGCTCTCCCGCAGCCCCGAGGAGAATCGGGAAGTGTTGTTCGAGTCCAAAGCCTCGCGAAGTTCCGATAAATCAACAGAGTTGGACAAAAAGTCCAGACCGTATGTTAACTCCATAGCAATTTCCGGTGTCGTCATTTCCTCCGTCGAAATACCCTCGCGCAAGCTATCCGCGTCTGCTATGTCCTGCATCCCCTGAACCGGATCCCCGGAATCCTGAAGCGAAAGAATATCTGGGTATGGGGAGTCCAAGCCAGCATCAAGCCCCGACGTAGTAGCGGTGTCTAGATTGTTATCCGTCTGAGGTCCTTCGGCGGAGGTCCCAGCCCTTTTGCGGCGACTCGTAACAGCGTTGCCTAATTGACCTTGCCAAATACTCTCTATCTTCTTTCTTATGCTCATTGAGAAAATCTCCATTGCCGCTTCTAACCCCTCATGGCCCTCAATGTCACCATGCTTGCGTTGCCACGAACGATAACCTTTGCGACTGACAGCGGCCATTATCACGATTTGGCGCGCAACGGCTGCCGCCAACTCGAACGGATTGACCGAGTGGCCATGGGCATCCCCATTATCTTCTTCAAGATCTCCTGATCCGTCGGATCGTTGATGATCTATTAATCGCTCGACCTGCCGGGAAGAATTCCGAGAAAAAAAGTCTACTAGGCGAATGCCTCCGATTCGTAGCTGCTCAGGCAGAATTGTCTCGTACGCGGTGTCTTCATTCTCTGTATTCCATCCTGATGCAGCGCAAACCGGTTTTGCAAAATCGTGTGCAAACGAATTTGAGCGCGCCAACTCTTTGCAAGCAAGATCTATGAGGGATAGTACAAGCGCTTTGGGATTAATCTCCGACAAAAGGCTTAATTTCTTGAACCCGTTGGCAGTGAGAGAGTTCACGAGGGTGGGGTTTAATAACGGCAAGAATTTTGACAACGGGAATTTCTTGGAATCCGAAGGTCTCTGTTCAGCTAGAAATTGTTCCAGAGTAAGTTTTACGTTGAACCACCTAAGATGCTCCGCTAGCTTGACAACAAATGCTCCGTTGCATAAGCATGACTGCACAATTGATTCGACGTCCCCCAGAGGGACATTTAGCATCTTTAGTAGTAGTTTGATTGGCCCTCTATTCATCAAATAGTAGTCGCAAATCATAGCACAATACAGTCTCTCGAGACGGATAAGGTCATATCCCGGGTAGACACTGACGTCGTCGTTTAATTGGGAACATTCAGCCAAAGACGTCGGCAACCAGGTACGAAAAGAGAGAGTCATCTCTTTCAGAATGTTACTAGCGCGATCGACCGCAATGCCAAGTTGTGCGAGTGCCCATCGAGCTTGAGAATCTGTACAGCAAACTTTTAGTAGCCATTCAAAAGCATCACGTCGTGAGATTCGACAAGGCGGCGTCACGGAGCTAATCCAGCGTCTCGTTTCATAGGAGTCACTTCCGTATTCTCTTACATACTGACTTAGCCCTACGAACATTTTATGTGGATGACGCTGGGGACTGATTGGTATAGAATAGGGACACGCACACGGAACGGGTACGCCCTATGTTACATGAATTCCGGGGCAAGATTGCTTAAGAGGATAATTGTTACTTTTTAGGTATTGTCTAAACAGGAATAAACTTGTCATGCCTTCGAATGGGACAATTAGCAAAATCATCAAGAATTTAGAATCAGGAATCCACAACGTTTGATTGTACTCTTTTAGAAGGAGGTACCCCTCAAGGGGACTGCCATCCACACATCCATTACCGAGTTCAGTAGCAATTAGCTTTCTTTGGTCATTGTACTTAATCTAATCAAATAGGGAGATATGACTTGGCGAGGTATGACTTCGGGAGATATGATGGAACGGCATTGAGATATAAGGGAATCGGTGCATCAAAAGGTAACTAGTGCCGGATTACGTGTCCCAGTCGTATTAGACTATTCATAAGGTGCTCGGCTTGACGCTCTTGCAAATCGTGTTCATCGCAGCTCATATTCAGCCAGAAATGTAGATCATTCGGGCAAAGCCCCTCTTCTCCACTAAGACTACATGCCTGGAGTATTAGACGCTGAGCCGCTTCATCTGAGCGTGTCCGGTTGGCTTTCAAGTCATCGAGAACTACGGTTTTCGCCTTCTCAAAATCTGTTTCCTTTTGACAGACAAGGAATGACTCTCCGTAAGAGCCTTGCCCTGTTCGACCAGCGCGACCACACATTTGCCTGTAGTCCATCGTGGTTATGAAATCCCGGCCAAGGAATGGTCTGTTGAATACCACTCGTGACGCAGGAAGGTTCACACCTGCTGCAAGAGTACTAGTGGCGGTCAGCACCCGAAGGACTCCGTGTCTGTAAGCCTCTTCCACAATCGTTCTCTCACTGTTGGACATCCCGCTATGGTGCATGCCAATACCATAAGGAACAACAGCATTCCAGAACTCCGCTCGAGAAGTACCCCACGTGCCCAAAGCACTCGTTCGTAACAGTAAAACCACCCTAGTTAAATGTGGACTTAGAGGCCGAAAACTTCTCTCCTCGCAATGGTTCGCCAGTCGTAAAGCCCATTCCTCACAACCTTTCCGACTGCTACAGAAGAGGAGGGCAGAATGATTTCTCTCGATATACGGCTGCAGTGCTAGGTAGGGGACCGTAAGCACCGACTGCCGGAATTCCAACGGAGCTGACTCCAAAGAAGCTGACTTCAAAGAAGCTGACTTCAAAGGAGCTGACTTTACCGGAGCTGACCCCAGCTCGCCACATGATGGCTTTAGAACCTCAATTGGGTCACAAGGAACTAGCTGGCGCTCTCTCTCGCACAGCAATGTCCTTCTCTCCAATACCAGATACTGCTTCAGCTCGACCGGTCTATACGTGGCTTCATAGTCAACCGCACGAAGCCACTCCCGAAGACGAGAACGGTTTGGAAAGGTAGCCGACATGCCGATAATCTGGATCTCGCCCTTGTAGTGCCGCAAGCCGCCGGTGGCCCCTATGGTCACATAGCCGTCAGGAAGGGCGGCCGCCTCCCCCATTACGTCTTCAGGGCCCGCCTCTTCCCTTTCTGACGACTGCCTCCTCCCTGACGACTGCAACGACTCCTTTCTTTTTTCTCCCAGTCTGCGTTCCGATAAGGCTTTTATTTTGATGATTAGATTCTCTATCAACTCGCCGCGACCCTGAGTAAAGAACACGTGGAATTCATCTATAACTATAGTCAGAATTGTCCTGTCCTTACAGGACAAGTACTTTTGAACAAGCTGGGATCCTTTCTCGATCGTGCAGACGGCCACATCTATGTCTTCTTCATTAACAATGGGAGCACCAAAGTAAAAGGGAGCCACCTTCTTGTCTAACTCCTCCCCTATTTTGCTTAGTGTCCTCGCTTTCTCTTTCACCAGTGCTATAAAGGGTAACAAGTAGATGCACAGGGGCCTTGGAATATCGACTGGAAACTCCAAATAGAAAGAAGTCCACATCACCAGATCAGCCACTAGGGACTTGCCACTGGAAGTGGGTGCTGTGTAGATCATGTTTGACCGGCCATCATGCTGATACAATTTACATAAAGCGTCCTCTTGCCAATGAAAAAGCTTTTCAATACCCTACAATAGTCAATGACTAGCACAAGAACTGGCAAGCTCCTCCCCACCCACCCAGCGCACAGGCTTACGTGGTAAACTAAAACTCGTTTTACATCTTCAGGGATATAGTCCATTACGATCTTTCCTTTTTATTTCTGCGTACCGGAGGCAGCTCCGGCCCCGCGCAGCTTTCCAGGTCGACCAAGGGATCCCTGAACCCGATTCGCCGCAGCCAAATTTTGGGCTCAATGATCATGCAGCTGGTGACCGCTCCCAAACAACCCGAGAGCGGACCAACGGTGTACACCAATAAGTCTATCCACTGACCTCCTTTGGCGATGAATGCTATGGCTAGCGCCGGATTCATGCAAGCTCCGCTGATGGGGCCACCTGCATATGACGCCGCCACGACCTGAAACAGTTGAGCATGAGACCACTGCGACGGCCGAACCTCTATGTGCTCAGGCCTCTATGTGCTCAGGTCCCTGTGTGCTCAGACCCACCCCTGTGAGTGTGATCATTACTGCTCCTGCGACCCAGAGTGGGGTCAGGGGACTGGGTGTGTGTGTGACGATAGCACATCGCAGACAAGTCATGGTCATGATGTAGGTATAAATCGCCTCGCAGGCCACCATCTGAGGGATGGTGTAGTGGTCGCTGGCGTGGGCGGCCACACTAAACGGATTCTTCAAAACGCTGCAGTGCCAGACGGCGACGTTAAGACCTAGCAGCGCCCCTAAAACTTCTGCAAAGAGGTAGGCGCCGCACCGTACCCAGCCGAAACGCCGATCCAGAGAGAAGACCGCAAGCGTAATCGACGGGTTGAAGTGGGCGCCACTCAACTCACCAAAGATATTGCATAGAGCCAACAGCAGCGCTCCAATCGCCACCGGCACCAAGGTGTCCAACGGCGAGATGGCCAACAGCATTGTGATCGTAAACGTGAGCAGCGCCGTTCCCACCAACTCCGACCCAAACACTAACAGAGTGCCGTGGCTTCGGTACCAAGCATGCTCGTAAAACATTTCCCAGCGACACGATCTCAAATCACGGATACCACACAACCAGAGTGACACGACCAGAGTGCCACGACCAGAATGTACAAGGAAAAATCACTGTTCTGAATCTAATTGGTGAATAATATTTTCGCGCTCTTTCATGTGGTGCGCCTCTATGTAGCGGTACACGGATCGCGACGGGCGCCGTTTGGACAAAGCCGCAGTCAGCAGTGGGAACGCGGGCACGCCGAGCGGCTTGCCCTTCTTCCGTTCCCATCGGCGCCACTTTTCTTCATACTTCGTCTGCAGCGCCTTTTCGACCTGGAGGTCCCAGACGACTTGGAGGTAGTTCTTATACTCCCAGCCCGACCCGCCGCACTCCAGTACTTTATGCAGCGACAGCAACGGCCCCGCCAGGAACATCGGGATGCCCACCACCAGCGCCACCAACTCCCCGTAGTACCAAAGCAGGAAGCGTACCTCGCTTGCTGACGGCCGCCACTCGCCATCAGCCAGCCCGTGCGGGTAGCCGAGGTAGGCCATGGTCCACTCGCAGCTTTTAAGGATGCCGTTCATGAAGGAAGCCACAATTAACACGTGCAACCCAATCACCTGTGAATGGATGCCCAACGACCAACGGAAGGCCACGCCACACAACGACAAGACACCAATCAGCGTCTTGAAAATGCCCACAAACAGGTCACCCGTCTCGTCCCATGTCAATTGGCCACCCGAAGTCACTGCGTCGTAAATGTTCCACACCCCGTAACTCGTCATTCCCAAGGCCACCACCAACGAAACCAGCGCCAACGGAAAGATCAACAACCCGCAGTGGTACTCGTCGATCGGACCCAGCCAAAACCGCGATGCCGGCCTCTGCGCACACAACTTTCACACTCCCTGCTCACTCACCAAACGACTCAACGCCTTCGACTTCAACAACGCCTTCTTCTGCTCACCCGACGGCCGACGCACCTCAATCACCACCAACAGGTCGTCCTCAGTTTGTGGGGGGATCACCGGCAAACGGTCCAACGCTTCGCCCCGCCGTCGCGAATACGACGACAGCGACCCGCTATCGGCCACCATTTTCCGACCAATATTCCGACCACCATCTAGCCCACACACCTCAGGTCACCCCGGGTTCACCCTACCCCTGGGCCACCCACCCCGGGTCCTGTCAGCCCACCACCCAGTCCAAGTTCTAGTCGACAAAGCTTTCGAGGCGGATCAGGATCTCTCGGGCCTTCCGTTGCAACCTGTCCAGCTCCTGGTTGCGTCGTCGGATGTCCTGTTCCGCCCAGAACTCGTCATCCACGTCCTCCGCGAGCGGATTCCGGAGCTCTGGCTGAGCGTACATTTGCAGCGCATGGATGAACCGTTTCAAAGACTTGGCCCCCCAATCGCCGCTACTGCTCACCTGCGCTATCAACTTGCGCACCGCCGCCGTCACCGCTTCAGCGGCCGTCCGGCGCAAATATCCCTCCTGGACCTCCCCCATGTTCGCGCTCTTTCGGTAAGACTCGCGGACCATCCGCAAAGTCGTGATTTCATTGTACACGACGCGGATCATCCTTCCCATCTCATCCAGACTACTCACCTCAGCGTACATCTGGCCCTTATTCACCTTCAGCAGCTGCCACCAACAAGTCCGTTAACAAATCAGCAGTCTTACCTGAAACGAGATCATGCCAGACAAGTCATTGTCCACTTGATATCTGCTTGTCAGGTATCGCAGCACGCTCTGCTTGCTATCAAGAATAGGAGATGATGACCCGAACGCAAAAATCGCGGAAGGAGGAAGGAATATTGCCAGCAGGACCGCTGCAACACGCAGCTGCATCAATCACTCTTATGGGACATATGAGGAAATGGTAGGAAACAGTTTCTTCGCAGCTTTCGGGAGCGTCAGCCCTTCAATTCCACGGTTGAAAGGCGTGTAGTTAGCGCCGTCCGTAGCTTGATAGAAGTTGATTGTGGATCTCGGAGATCGTAATCGAATTCGCGGAATTAGGGTCTGTGCAACCGCCTCACGGTTGTAAGGGAGTACAAAACCGGAAGCCGCCACCTGCGCAACGGCGTCGTCGGTAATGTCTCCTATGGGATTAACAAACCGTGGAATGCCACCCGGTCCAAGGAGTTGTCGATTCCCATCCGGGTCTATAACCAGATCCGCCCCACCAGGCCCATATATGATCCGTTCACCATTCGGCCCTATCCTGAAACGACCTTCCCGTGTCGTCGGGTACAGCGAAAATCGCCCTTCGCGGGTGACCAGCGCACCACCTCGAGGAAGCACATCTGATCCCGTAAGGACAGTCGATCCCGCAGCTAGGGGATTGACTGCGGTGGCGGTCTCATCTCCGATTGCGTTCCCGGCCGAATCTATGGGCGAGACCAGCATCGACAATGGCAACGTGCGCACGGTCGGCGAGTAGCCGTCTGATAAAATCGGTTTATGTACCCTGTCTAAGGCTCACTTTCAAGTGCAGTGAGAGGATCAACACCCAAAGCAATGGTGTTAACCGAGCGCGCCAGAGGACCCATTGTGTTGACGAAATCACTCACCCCGCTGGGGACAGACTGGTAATCCAAGAGGGGGTCTGACAATAATGTACCACCCGCAGAGGTCACAATACGGCCAATCATGTTCCCCACCATGCCTTTCACCAACAATTCATCGGGGCTTCCGGTTTTCAAAACAGCATCAGCAGCAGCAAATATCAACACTCCCTGCTGAGCGCGCATCACACGCGTGTGCGGCGACAAAACGGGTCGGCTCGCCCTCCAATTTTTTTTGGGAGGCAATAAAAATTCATGTTGCATCGTCGACACCTTGCTCAAAACATGAGTCCAAGCACGGCCCAAGAGATGGTGCGAAGATGTCGGAGACTTAGCTATATGTGGCTCACAAAATGATGATAACCAAAGTTGTTCAGTTCTGCTGCTTAGTAAATGATGCTGAGAATACTTAAGTATCTGATACATGAATGCTTCATATTTATACATGTGAGCCTCTCGTCGGTTCAATATACGTTATTATGATGACAATACATAAACTCAGCTCATTCAGAGACCACCATGTCAATGAGGAGTAATTTATCCCGGGGCTTAAAGCCCTTACTGACGTTTCCGTAGCATGGCAATCCAGCTAGGCACCCATTCTTCAATAATGATGTGCCCCGTTCAGTATTGCCTATATTGACGAGGTTGCGACGGTTACTGGTTACGTGTCAGAGTACCTTTCCAGTGACATTCCGTTATGGCGTGGCTCAACATTCCTTTCCGTGTAGTTATGTACTTTATTTGCGTTGTACTTATTGCGGTGAGCATCACACTCTCGCCGGCTTTATGGGAGTGTACGATTGAAAGACTTGCCGTTGAAAATGTATCTGCGCGTAATGAACAACTGCGCTACCTACGACTTACATTTCACAACTTATGGGATACTATGATGACAATGAATAAACTCAGCTCATTCAGAGACAACCATGTCAATGAGGACTAACTTATCCCGGGGCTTAGTGCCCCTGCTGACGTTACCGGCAATCCAGCTAGGCACTCATTCTTCAATAATGGTGTGCCCCGTTCGGTATTGCCCAAATAGACAGGGTTGCGACCGGTGCAGGTTATGTTTCATTTCCAGTGACATTCCGTTATGGCGTGGCTTAACATTCCTATCCAAGTACGTAGTTTGCACTTTTACTCACCTTTGACCTGCTTGTTCTTGTGCTCACCTTTGACCTGCTTGTTGACCTGCTTGTGAGCGTTAAGGGGCTTGCTGGGGTCTCTCACGAGCCTAGTTTCATTTGGTTGTGTATAAAACGCTGCCCCCAACCGTCAGCGAACCATCAACTACTTCTCGCACACATCTCGGATACGGTGAGAAGAGATCGGCTCAGCTCATCCGGAACCATTCAAGTCTGAAATCTGCCTACCCAAGTTGGCACGCAAGTCTTGAGTTATGGCTAGCCCCTTCAGTATTGCCTATATTGACAGGCTTGAGAGCTTTGCTGGATGTGTATCAGAGTCGCCCTCCGGTATAATGTGCGATTTAGACTTGTAACGGACCCACAACAATGGCCAAGAAATGATGATAAGGAAAGTTGTTCAGTTCTGCTACTTAGTTAACGAATGCTGAGAATACTTACGTATCTGATACGTAACCCTCACCTTATACACCCTCACCTTATACACCCTCACGTTCTACACCTTCACCTTATACACCCTCACGTTCTACACCCTCACGTTCTACACCTTGACCTTATACATGTCAGTTTACTACGCCAAATGTTCCCATCACTCGTGATGGTTTTATTTTATGTTCGAGCAAATAATCGCTCTACTCGAAGTATTGAAAAATGTTTCGATATATATTTATCCTATCCTGTGAATGATCGTGGTCGTCTATTCAAGAGGTTAGAAGAAGTTTAATACCCCCTGGATGGAGGAATCCATAATCCTGTAGGGATAAACCGCCCTGTTGTAATCGAAATAATTGGTGGTGGCAGTGAGGCCAACGGTGAATGCAGTTAGCATGACAGTGATCATCCCGACTCCCAGAACCATCTGCTTTCTCTGACGTTCCTTCTCCACTTCTTGCTCCGCATTCAGAATCTTTTCGCGGTAGTAAGCATGGTGGTTCCAGCTTCCTCTCATTTTTATTTAAATTTTCTCCTTTTTCTTAGGTTGACGGTTCAGTCAGTCAGTCAGTCGAGCACAGGTCGGTTATAATGATCCACGACCGTCGCCCCCCTTTCACATCCAGCCCCTTCAAGCAACCTGGACAGCGCGTGGTCCGGTACTCCCGGTCGGTAGCACTCTACTCCCAGCCATCCCGGGACGTGCCCCGTCCCGTCCCACAGCTAGCCCGTTAAACCCACGTAAATCCTCAAACCCACGTAAACCCACGGCCCTGCCCCACTTCGCTAAATCTGCCCACACCAAATAGCTCGAAGCACGCCAGGGGGACACAACAGGTTAGGTAAGGTAGGCCGGCACGCTGTGCTGGGTTGAAGATAAAATATGTTGTTATTAATTACTATTATAAAAATCTAGTACATTAAATATCTAAAAAATACAGCTCTATTGGCTGGTTATTGTTCTTGTGTTTTATGTAGTATTCAACGTCGCTGTAGTAACCTCCATGGCTGCTGTGGT